ATTATGAGACAAAGTTTCTATATTGATCTATGTTATTACTATTCCTGGGGCTCTTCATTCATTTGTGTAAATCTATCTTCCCATCTACTATCATTTCTCTCCTACACAAAAGACTTACTTTTACATTTCTTGTATATGAGTCTCCCAGAGTTTTTGTATGTCTGAAAGTCTCAATTTCTCTTTTGTTTTTTTGGAAGAATATTTTTGGAGGTAAACTAGTCTAGTTTGACAGGATTTTGTTTTCCTCTAATACTAAAAAGATTTTACTCCACTGTGTTCTTTTTGTTGTTGTTTTTTGAGGAGATATCTGCTGTTATTGTTATTTTTGTTCCTCTATAGGTAATGTATACTTTTTTTCTGCTTGTAAATCATTTGTTTTATTAACTTGTTTTAAGCAGGTTAATTCTCATATGCCTTGCTAACGTTGTCTTTATATTTATTGTTTTTATGTTTTTTTGAGCTTCTTAGTGTTTATCAAATTTGGAAAAGCTTTGGCCAATATTTCCTCATATATATTTCCTGTCCATTCAGGGACCTCAATTATACTTAGATCATTTGAAGTTGTTCCATAGCCCTCTTTGATGTTCTAATTTTTTTCCAGTATTTTTTTTCTTTGTTTCACTTTTTTTTATCATTTCTATTGTTATGTATTCAAATTCACAATCTTTTCTTTCATAATGTCTGTTCTGCCATTAATTCCATCCAGTGTATTTTTTATCTTAGGCATTGTAATTTTCATCTTTAGAACTTCATTTTCTTTTTACCTTCCATATATCTTCTTAACATGTTCCAACTTTCGTCTAGTTTCTTGAGCATATGAAATACAATTACAATTATGATAATTTTAAATGTCCATGTCTACTAATTCTTTCATCTGTATTCTTTCTGTTAATTTTGATTAATTGATTTATTCTCTTCTTCATTAAAGGTTATGTTTACCTGTTTCTTTGCATGCCTGATAATTTTTATTTGGAAGGCAGACATTGTGAATTTTACTTTGCTGGATGCTGGATGTTTTAGTATTCTTATAAATATTTTTGACATTTGTTCTGGAACATGTACTTTGAAACAAAACTATCCCTTTGTGTTTGCTTTGAAGATTTGAGAGGTGAGATTATAGCAGTGCTTAGTCCATGACTAATTATTTCCAGTACTGATGTAAGACTTCTGTGTATTTTACCCAATGATCAGTGAATCCTGAGTTTTTACAGTCTGACTAATGGGAACAGGCACAATTCCAAGCCTGTGTGAGCACTGAGCATTCTTATGTCTAATCATTTCAGGTGGTTCCGCAAACACACATATGATGATCAGCACTCAGCTGAATACTTGAGGAGATCCTTTACAGATCCGCATGGTTCTCTTTTCGTGAAGATCTCTCCTTGGTTCTCTGTCCTGCAAACCCAAGTTGCCTTAGTCTCCCCAGATCCACAGCTCTATCTCTTCAAATTGAGGAGACTATCAAGCTTTGCCTGGCTTCCTGCTCCTTATGCTGTGGCTTGAAAACACTCCAAAGGCAGTAAGCTGGGGTAGTCATAGAGCTCCCTTTTTGTTCTCCATCTCTTATGGATACTGCATTTCATTATCTGATGTCAAATACCCTGAGAACTTCTGTTTCATATGTTTTGTCTACTGTTTTTCTTTTTCCAGTCAAGAGACTGGAAGACCCAAATGTCATCCCTATTGTTCCATCTTGGCCAAAAGTAAAAGATTCCCATCCCTTATTTTTCAAAATCTCCTTTCTCTTGGCTCCTGTAACATGTCTTCCTCTTGATTAACCATCAGTTTTGTAACTGTTCTTTCATTCACCTCTTAATCTTGTCTCTGTTCTTGTCTCTGCATGCTACCTCTCAGAGCTTCTCCACAGTTGCTGGTCCAGGTCCCATTCCTTCATATAACATCTTAAATATTCATTCACTTGAATGTCTGTACCACATCCACTACTGCCTAGAGGGAAATCCACTTGGTTATCTTGCTCTCATTTTAAGTTCAACAGTTTGGCATTTTGTAAAGTGCACTTGCTAAGGTACACTCAAAAGGCCTGGATTATAGTCCCTGCTTTGCCACCAACTACTTGACTAGGTAACCTTAGAAAAATCGCTTATACTTTCATACCTTCAGTTTCCTCAATATAAAGTGAAGAAACTTGATTAGGTGATTTCTAACACCTTTTTTCTTCTTTTAATGTTTTTTTATTCTAGGTAACTCTGGTTAAAACCATTAAACTTTCATTGTCATGCCTACCTGTTTTTTCTGAAAGCTAATTGCCTTCACCTCACATCTGTATTAATGCTTTAGCCTCCTAACAAGCTTTCTTTCTTCCATCTAACTCTGTTGAACATTACAGCCAGATCAATTCAAATCCCTGCATAAGAACTTGCAGTAGCTCTGCTGCCTGACACATTAAATACTAACTCTTCTACCTGACTTTTAAAATACTTATCCCATCTTTTTTATACACTCTTACATGCCACTGTTCATCTATGTGAATTCTTCACCTCATTCTGGATGAACTCCTTGATTCTCCATCTTCCTATTCTTGTGCCCATGCCCAGTGTTCTCCTAGCTTGATGCACCTTCTCTATCCATTCAAGTCCTAACTATCCCTCAAGACCCAGCTCAAGCTTCCCTCCCCCCATGAAGCCTTTGCTTACTGCTTAAGAATGCACAGATGTCTTTACTTTGTAAGTTCCTATTGTACTTCTTCAGTATACCTCATAGTTTAACTAACAAATATCTGATTATTTCGTGCCTGGTAATTTTTTTGTATCATGCAGAATTTAAGGTCCTTGGATACACAAACTATACTTTTCCTTTCTCTTAGTATCTTCCAAGCATATGGTATTTATAGAAATCCTCATTGATTGATTAAAAGCCATCCAACTGAGGTTTAGCTCATCTCCTTCCTGAATTATCATTGTGTGTGTATGTGTGTGTGTGTAAAGGTGCTGGCTCCCAAGACAGTTTGAGCTCATGTTTATCCATGTTATGCTGGCATTTGCATGTGCTTTCTGAATACTGTCCATTTCTAAGTTTTCAGAAGTAGTCCTTGATTAGTGACTCTAAGCTGGGACTTGGAAATACAGATCTGTCTTGGTGGCAGGAGCTGGGTTGCAATAAACAATCATCCCTTCCTTAGTGAACTTGGCAACTCTTTTTTGAGAAATCTGTCAGTGAATCATTGTGACAAAGAGGGAGAGAAAAGCTCAAAGCTCTAGACCTTACTGGCTTAAGAATAAGCATCTAATATTAGAGAAAATTTAAAAAGGAGATGATACAACCTTGCCATGGTACCTCTACAATAAGCAATCAGATAATGGCCAGATCAGAACCAGATAGCTTTAAGGAAGGACAGAGAAAAAAATTGTCAGCAGGCTTTCTTGGAAATTAAAGTATGCTAAATAAAGGAAAGGAGGCAGGGAGCTGTGAAAGGAAGCAAACATCTTGAATTTGTTTTGAGTAACTTAGTATGCAGCATGAACAGTATTTTAAGGCTTCTGAAATCACACTTTGCCCTGTTCAACTCAGAACTCATTCTTAGGCTTCTGAAGTAGTGAAGTGGAAGCAACTCAGCTTCTTGGTTTCATATAGATGTGGTTGGAATAAATGCATTTCCTCTTCATAAACACCACCTCTTTTCCTGTCAAAATTAAATGCTCAGAGTTTTGCTCTTGTTTGACTTTGTTTTTCACTTATTTGCTCCTCCAAGTTGGCTTTAGTAAATAGACTACAATCCATATAGCTATCTGTTGTGCATAGGAACTGCAAAGTTCAGTCATAATCGGGTATCTAACCATCATCTACAAGTAGGAAAACAAAGGCATATCAGTTGAATTGCTGGGATACATTCATCATTTCTTTTCCAAAGGCTGGTTTATTAACAGGTTCACTGAACTGACCCCCCAGAAAAAGTGTGATCTAGTAAGTAGAAAGAGTACTGGAATTAGGCCAAGGCACTAACTTGCTGTTTGACTTTGAGCAACCCACTTAATCTCTGTGTTTTAGGAGTCTCATCTGTTAAATCAAGAGGTTGAACTATACAATCTCTGTTGTACCATTCAGGGGTGATGTTTGACATATTTGTAACGACTGTTGCATGCAGTACTTCTGATATATGTCTTTTCCTTGATGCTTTGTCTACTCTTAGATTCTGAGACATTTCTTTGCCTCTCTCGTCCTTTACCAATACTTGGCTTTCTTTCCTGAATCTTCTTTTTGTTTGTTAGATCCATCTCTTTTGATGGGTGAAAGACAGAAATATGTTAAATATAGCTCAATTCATAGGTTACAAATAGTCAGCTCAAAGCCCAAACTAGCTTATAGTCATGCCTGTCCGACCAGAACAGTGTTTTTTTTTCTTTTTCTGAACTTGGCTTCTGAAAAATTGAATTAGTTGCCAGCATAATAATCAAGAGATCTCACATAAATACCCAGCTTTCCAGCTTCTCTGAAAGAATCATAATATCAGGAGACAAGATATCCTCATTTCCACCAGGGATCAACCAGCTGGTATGGAGGTGCGAGATACCCTTTTAGCCTGGGCTTTCCAGTTTACTACCTCCATCATTTCCTCTTCCCATTGTCTTCCTGGCACCCAATAATAGTTGCCATTTATTATCATGCCTTATGTTGCTGGCCCACTCTTTAGGTGGGGCATTAACTCTCTGGTTTACTGCCACCCCCACTACTTCCTGTAGTACTGATGGTAAATGTCAGTTACCACTTATCATCACATTTGCACTACTGTTGTTCTTATACCAGATTTAAAAGGCAAGTGGAATTTTTGTACCTGTATCTCTATCAAACACATCAAACCAAAAGAGCCAAGTGTAGTATTTGTTCTACCCAATTTATTGTTTTATTTTACCTTCATGACCTCTGTTGATCTTTGTGTTTGTAACCTCTGTTCTAAATTGAATGTATTGTCAATATAGTCTTCATTCACAAAAGGTGTTCATCCCAGAAGCCTCATTTTTTTTCCTGTACCTTCTTAGGCCTCCATGTTCTGCATAAAGGAATTAGAAGCATTTGCTGGGCACCAGTGACAGAAGAAACAGGTAGATGTTTTAAACTTCCATAGTAAAACAGAGAAGTACTATTCGGGTATTCTTTGAAGGTAGAATGTTTATTTGAATTCACCTGAATCTGCTACAAAAGACCGTGAATAGCTATCCTGAGAAAAAAAGAACAAAGCTAGAAGCATTATACTTCCTGATTTCAAACTGTACTACAAGGCTACAGTAATAAGAACAGTATCACACTGGCATAAAAACAGACATAGAGACAAATGGAACAGAAGAGAGTGTCCAGGAATAAATACATGCATATACAGTCGATCTTTGACATGGGTGCCAGAAATACATAATGGGGAAAGAACAGTTTCTTCAACAAATGGTGTTAAGAAAACAGGATATTCACATGCAAAGGAATGAAAGTGGACCACTATCTTACATCATACACAAAAATCGACTAAAGAGGGATGAAACGCTTAAATGTAAGACCTAGAACTGTAAAACTCATAGAAGAAAGCATAGATGGAAAATTTCATAACATTAGTGTTGCTAATGATTTTGGATATGACACCAAAAGCACAGACAACAAAAACAAAAATAAAGCATGTGACTACAACAACTAAAATCCTTATACAAAGGAACGTCAGTCAAATAAAGGGAAAGAAAAATAATGCAGCAAAAGAAATAACCCATAGAGTGAAAGGCAGCCTACAGACTGGATGAAAATATTTGCAAACCATATATCTAATGAGAGATTAACCTCTCAAATATATGAGGAACTCATATAACTCAATAGCAAAAAACTAATAACCTGATTTTAAAATGGGGAAAGGCCTTGAAAGACATTTCTCAAAGAAGACATACAAGTGGCAAAAATGTATATGAAAAAATTGCTCAATGTCTCTAATCATCAGGAAAATACTCATCAAAACTTCAATGAGATATCATTTCACACCTATCAGAATGGCCATTATAAAAAAAAACAAAGTGTTGGTAAGGATGTGGAGAAATTAGAACCTTTGCACACTGTTGGTAATAATGTAAAATGATGTAGATACTGTGGAAAATAGTATGGCAGTTACTCCAAAAAATTAAAAGTAAAAATACTATATCACCCAGTAGTCACACTTCTGCATATTTATCCAAAAGGATTGAAATCAGGATCTCAAAAAGAAGTCTACACTCCCATGTTCACTGCAGCACTATTCACAATAATGAAGATGTAGAAACAACCTAAATGTCCATTGACAGGTGAAGGGATAAAGAAAATGTGGTCTCTCTCTCTCTCTCTCTCTCTCTCTCTNTATATATATATATATAATTGAATACTCATTAGCCTTAAAAAAGAAGGAAATTCTGTAATGTGCAACAACCTGGATGAACCTTGAGGACTTTATTACAAGTGAAGTAAGCCAGTCAGAAAGACAAATAATGTGTGATTCCATTTATATTAGGTAACTAAAATAGTCAAATTCATTGAATCAAAGAGGGGAATGGTGGTAGCCAGGAACTGGGAGGAGGAGCATGTGGAGAATTATGAATTAATGGACACATCAAGCTAAGCTAGATGAATAAACTCTAGAGATATGCTGTGCAACATTGTACTGTGGTCAACATTAATGTATTGTACACCTAAAAATTATTTAAAAGTTTGATCTGTTAAATGTTCTTAACACAATTAAAAGTAAACTAAACTAAAATAAAATAAAATAAAAAGAACAATAGGAACCATTGATGGGTTTTCATCTTGGGGTAGTGTTGCCAGATAAAATGCAGAATATCCAGTCATATTTGTATTTCAGAAAACAACACAATTTTTAATATCTATATGTCTTAATAGTGCATAGGACCTACATGTATTAAAACATAACTTGTTTTTCTGAAATTCATATTTAACTGGGAATTCTGTATTTTTATTTGCTGAAACTGACAACCCTATCCTGGGAGCACCCTGACTGGTTTTGTCATTTAAGAAGATCACTTTGGTTGTTATGTAGAGAACAGATTGGAAGGTAGTAAGGCTGGAGGCAGGCAGACCTTTTATAAGGCTGGATTGCACTAGTCCAGATGACACAGTATTGGTAACTTAGGCTAAGGTTATAGCAGTGGAGATAAAAAAAAAAAGGAGATAATCAAAATAAAGAGGTCTTGGTGAAAGGTAGGGACAGGGGGAGAAGGCATTGTAGAGGATGATCTATAGTGATGTACCCTTTAATTTCTGATTTTGAGTATTTGCAGGATGACCATAATTTATCATCCAGACCTCAACATTTTTGAGAATGTTAAACCCAGATGTATGGTCACCCTAGTAATTTGGGGCCTCCCTATTTTTTTCTCTATCAGCATTACCAATGCGTATTAATTTCATTTATCTTTTCAAAGAATCAACTTTTGGCTTTGTTTATCCTTCTCATTATACATTTCTTATTCATCTAATCTCTGCTCTTATTTTTATTATTTCCTTTCTCTTTCTTTGGCCTAAGTAACTATTCCGTGTATAATTTCTTGACATGGATACTTAGATCACTGAGTCTCAAACTTTCCTCTTTTCTAATATACACTTTCTAAGATTATGCATTTTTTCTATGAGAATTACCTGCATCCCCCAAACTTATGATATATAGAATTTCCAATATCATTCAATTAAAAATATTTTCTAATTTTCATTGTTATCCATGGGTTATTGAAAAGGTATTTCTTAATTTTTATTAATATGAGTACATTCATTATCTTTTTAGTTCTTCACTACTTTTTTCTGCTGTGGTCAGACTATCCTGTATGATTTCAATCTGAAATATTTGTGACTTGCTTTTTGGTTCAATACATGCTCAGTTTTTGGAGATGGTCCACATGGACTTGTAAAAAATGTTTATTCTGCATTTTTGGGGGAGTGATCCATACTGTCAATTAGATTAACTTGGTTAATAGTGTTGGTCAAATATTCTACATCCTGTCTGATTTTTAAAAAAACATTCCATATCTTTGATGATTTTTTGCTTGTTCTATTATCTTATAATCGAGGTGTGTTAAAATTCACTCCAATTGTAAATACAGTTTTTTTAAATTAAGGTATCATTGAAATACACACTTATGAAGGTTTCACAACAAAAACAATGTGGTTATTACATTCACCCTTATTATCAAGTCCTCCTCATACCCCATTGCAGTCACTGTCCATCAGTGTAGTACGATGCCAGAGTCCCTATTTGTCTTCTCTGAGCTACACTGTCTTCCCCGCAAACTCACACACACCATGTGTGCCAATCATAATACCCCTTAGTTCCCTTCTCCATCCCTCCCTGCCCACCCTCCCACACCCCTCCCCTTTGGTAGCCACTAGTCCCTTCTTGGAGTCTGTGAGTCTGCTGCTATTTTGTTCTTTCAGTTTCGCTTCGTTGTTATACTCCACAAATGAGGGAAATCATTTGGTATTTGTCTTTCTCTGCCTGATGTATTTCACTGAGCATAATACCCTCTAGCTCTATCCATGTTGTTGCAAATGGTAGGATTCGTTTCTTTCTTATGGCTGAAAAGCATTCCATTGTGTATATGTACCACCTCTTCTTTATCCATTCATCTACTGATGGACACTTAGGTTGCTTCCATATCTTGGCTATTGCAAATAGTGCTGCGATGAACATAGGGGTGCATATGTCTTTTTGAATCTGAGAAGTTGTTTTCTTTGGGTAAATTCCTAGGAGTGGAATTCCCGGGTCAAATGGTATTTCTACTTTTAGTTTTATGAGGAACCTCCATATTGCTTTCCACAATGGTTGAACTAGTTTACACCAGCAGTGTAGGAGGGTATCCCTTTCTCTGCATCTTTGTCAGCATTTGTTGTTCCTAGTCTTTTCTTTGTTGGTCATCCTAATTGGTGTGAAGTGATATCTCATTGTGGTTTTAATTTGCATTTCCTTGATAATTAACGATATGGAGCACCTTTTCATATGCTGGCTGGCCATCTGAATTTCTTCTTTGGAGAAGTGTCTGCTCATATCCTCCACCCATTTTGTAATAAGGTTATTTGCTTTTTGGGTGTTGAGGCATGTGAGTTCTTTATATATTTTGGATATTAACCCCTTGTCAGATATGTAATTTACAAATGTATTCCCCCATACTGTAGGATGTCTTTTTATTCTGTTGATAGTGTCCTTTGCTGTACAGAAGCTTTTTAGCTTAATGTAGTCCCATTTGTTCATTTTTGTTTTTGTTTCCTCTGCCCGAGGAAATGTGTTCAGGAAAAAAGCTGCTCCTGTTTATATTCAAGAGATTTTTGCCTATGTTTTCTTCTAAGAGTTGTATGGTTTCATGACTTACATTTAGGTCTTTGTTACATTTCAAGTTTACTTTTGTGTATGGGGTTAGACAGTAATCCAATTTCACTCTCTTACATGTAGCTGTCCAGTTTTGCCAACACCAGTTGTTGAAGAGGCTATCATTTCCCCATTGTATGTCCATGGCTCCTTTACCATAGACAAATTGACCATATATGCTTGGGTTTATATCTGGGCTCTCTATTCTGCTCCATTGTTCCATGGATCTGTTCTTGTGCCAGTACCAAATTGTCTTCATTACTGTGGCTTTGTACTAGAGCTTGAAGTTATGGAGCATAATTCCCCCACTTTATTTTTCCTTCTCAGGATTTCTTTGGCTATTTGGGATCTTTTGTGGTTCCATATAAATTTTAGAACTGTTTGCTTTAGTTCGTTGAAGAATGCTGTTGGTATTTTGATAGGGATTGCATTGAATCTGTAGATGACTTTAGGCAGGATGGCCATTTTGACAATATTAATTCTTCCTCTCCATGAGCACGGGATGTGTTTCCATTTATTGGTATCTTCTTTAATTCCTCTCATGAGTATCTTGCAGTTTTCAGAATATAGGTCTTTCACTTGCTTGGTTAGGTTTATTCCTAGGTATTTTATTATTTTGATGCAATTGTGAATGGAATTGTTTACCTGATTTCTATTTCTGCTAGTTCATTGTTAGTGTATAGGAATGCTACAGATTAATTTTGTATCTTGCAACTTTGTTGAATTCAGATA